TTTTGTTGTGTATAAAATTAGAAAAATTAACAGTGGAAGCGTTCAAGCAAACCACCTCTGAAGATGCAAGCCACTCGTGCTTGAGAAACGTCTGGAAGAAATTCTATTGTACGACGGCCTAAAAACCCACTAGTTTCACTGTTAAAAAGTTTGTATTTTCGGTATAACAAGCCACCAACCTGAAAAAGTCCGGTTCCACATTTTAAGGGTGATGTCGCTGCCGTCCCTAATGTCGCCCCCTTCCCATAGAGTCTCGTTAAGGGCCATGCCCAGCAGGAAAACGCCATCATAGAAAGCCCCAATGACGAAGTTTACCTGCAATTGACCCAAAATTTTGGACTGCCGGATTGGACTGGGGATTGGGTTACCTCCTCCCCTTCGCTGATCGTGTAATTGTAGTCCCTAAGAGACCTTTCCTTGACCTTGTCGGCAAAGTCCTGGAACTTGTCGCTGGTTGGTTGCAAGAGGGACACTCTGAGCAGGGCCTCGTAGGCCTTGCGCGCTTTGTAGTCTTCTGAGTCGCCGGCCTTCCAGTCGTGGTCGCCCCAATAGGAGCCCTGAGTTGATTAGGATCAGACGGGTTTTTTCCGATTCCGGTTGGGTCTACCTGGAATATTTCCACGTCCAAAAAGATCCAGTCCCCTTTGGTCATGCCCAGAGCGTGCGCTGCCAGCATGAACTTCCTAACCAGCGCCCCCCGGACGCTCAGAATGACCACTAAACATCAGAACGGGTTTCGATTGGAGGTGGGAGGGCTGGGAAAGGGTCTTAGGGTACCTCTAGCATACATGCTGGCATCGCGAAGGTAGTTGTCCAGGGAGTCGTTTTCGTTGCCGTCCAACTCGCGCACGAATGAGAGAAGTCCTGCTTTTTTCAGCCCGTGCTCCAAGTTTTTGCCTGGAAAATTCATAATTTAATGGCAAAGTGTTCAGTTGTGACCTTTGAATTTTTGAATTTGTGGACTGCTTTCGAATCGCAAAAGTTCCTTTATTTTGATTGGCTTGTCGGAAAAATTAGCAGTGGGCAAGTTTTGTTCAATTGGTTGATTTAGTTGGGCAGTGTAGGTTTTATCCCGGTTTTTAACTCGGACTGAGGGTAATTCACACATCGCCTCGGTAGCGCAGTAGGCAGCGCGTAAGTCTCATAATCTTAAGGTCGTGAGTTCGATCCTCACCCGGGGCATATTCTTTTATTGATGCTTTTTGAAAATCTTTTCGCATTTTTCGTCCGTGTGCGTCTCTCAATTTGCTAATTTTTTAAGTTTCTGATTCAATTTACGCAATTTGGAAATTTAATCAAACTAAATTTTCAGTTTTTTATTAGTTAGAGAAGAACTACGTTTGGAAAGTTTGAGGATGTGTCAGGATGGCCGAGCGGTCTAAGGCGCCAGACTCAAGGTTTCCTTGCCTGTCAATTGCGGGTTCTGAGCATTCTGGTCCTCTTTGAGGGCGTGGGTTCGAATCCCACTTCTGACAAAACTTTTTAAATTTGCCGCTTAAGTTTCAGTCAATTCTAATAAATATATTTTTTTTCTGTTGCATTTCAGTTCTGTATTTCTATCTATTGCGGCAATTCGAACCTAGCGGTTTGTCATAATTTAAGACGATTTAAGGTTAGGGGATTTTTTCCCGGTATTTTGTTGTAACCGTAAACTCTTTGAATTTTATTAATATAGTGTTGGACCTTGACTGTGTTAACTTAATTAATATTGATAAAATTATTGAACTCATAAAGTTTGATTTAGAAGAACTTAACGATGTGTTTTTTAACGTTACTCTATATATTATGTACACCAAATGGGGGGTTTTAATAATAAAATTGTATTATTGAGCAAATAGATAGTTGGCTTAAGTTATTTTCCTATGTGCAATGTGCAAATTTAATTAAAACAAATTATCAACGATTTTTTAATTTTAAAGTAACAGAAAAAATAAAATTACTATTGTAAGAGTCAAGAAATATTAAGCAAAATAATTGCTGGTATCTTCTGTTTCCATTTACTTTTTGTTTAACATGTCACACTAAGCAACACATGAAAATAATTGCCTTTTTACACTATTCCAACAAAAGTGGAATACCAACAACGTAGTTCGACTTTTTAGTAGGTAGTCTTCTGTGAATTAATTTCATTACATCAGGCGTATAAAATACTAGGATTTGAAATCAGAAATTTTAAATATTTTAACAATAATACAACATTTTTTTATTACATTTTTAGTATTTAATGTCATAAGCACTCTTACTTGTTATTGCCACTT